GACTCTTTGAAGTGAACGACGCGAGCCGCCTCCTTATTGGGAGTCATGGGTTTTTTTCCTTCTCTCACTTTATTACATTTTATGTGGAGTGAATAAATAAAAGTATATTTACGGTGGCCCCTAGAGACAAAGCACGTACAAACTCCAAAACACGTACAAAACACAACAGAAGTGCTCCAGGATGCTGGGCGCAGTGTTGAGCTTTTGTTACTAGTGGCTACACAAGCCAGCAAGTACCAACGACCGGATTTGGTGTGTGGTAGTAACAGGTAAATGAACATTTTTTTTAATTATTTGAATATATATGAGTGCTTGTGTATAAATACACAAACAATACACATATGCTTTCAATTGTGTAATTTAAGTGATCTAGTAGCTCTGTTTTGGAAGTTCAGTTAACGCTAGAAATGTGTTTTGGAGTTTGTACGTGCTTTGTCTCTAGGGGCCACCGTATATATTTATATATAAACATATATAAATAAAACCACTTTTTTTTTACATTAGTAATTCCTTTTGTGCATAATTTTATATTTTGTTAATAATAAATTAATTAAAGCAACAAAACAACCTGAAGAGCCGGTTGGGAGCCGAAAGAGCCGGTTCTCTAAAAAGAGCCAGAAATCCCATCACTGTTGGACATTGGCTGCTTTCTCGCTCATTTTCAGTCCAGACTATTTAGCTGACCACATTCAGAAGAATGTCTTTTTGTTGTTGAAGCGTTATTTCAATCTATGAAAAGAACCAAATATAACACAATTTGAAAGTTACAAGGTAAGAATTTTGCACAGACAAACAAGGTGATTTCCAACCAGCTAGAACTTGGCATATCTCAACATGTGTGCCCTTAAAAAAACAATGAAACTGGACAAGTGGATGACAACAGAAAAAGTGTCGGGCTTAAAAAAACTATGCAGAGCAGATGAACAGTGTCTGTTATTTACCGGCAGTTTGTCCAAATGTATTTGACTGCACATCGTTTCACAGTCAACATGTTGACTGCACACTCACAGTACACACATGCAGTACATGTCAGTGTAATTGGAATTTTCAGTGTGCGAGTTAGACGGGACATGCCTGACTGGGAAAAACTTTCTAACTAACTAAAAAAATGGGTGTGCTTGATGGTTTTTGCTTTTTTTTTTTAAATCTTCAGGTCATACGGGGACTCGATTCACTGTCGAAAAGCTCTCCACAGAGCAGTTCAGTGCACCTCAGACTACCCGGAGCATGTATGTGAAGTCCTGCTCAGCTTTGAGAGAGTGGAAGGTGAGCCTCAAACTAAAAATGATTATAAATTCATTATAAATCATTATTTTTAAGAAAAGGGAGAATTTGACACAGTATGGCTTTATACTACACGTTCCCACCTACAGGTTCTCTGGAGGACTGGGACTTCGCCGTGCAGAAGACAGAGACCCGGCTGAACAGGATTAATGAACAGCGAGCGAAGGTAGGAGCAGTACTGCACCGGCCAGGTGTATCGTTTGGCTGCCTTTGGCTAATGTTACCATGTTCTGACCATCTGTTAGGCAGCTGAGAAAGAAGCCAACCTGGCTCGGCAAGAGGACGAGAGAGCTGAGCAGCGGCGGAAAGCCAAGGTAGAAAAGAAGGCTCAGAAGAAGGTCCAGAAGGGAACGCGAGCTGGGGAGAAGAGGAAAGCAGAACAGGACGATTATCAAGATGAATGGAATGAGGACGCAGGTGAAATAGACTCCTTAGCTGATGGACTAATTCTTTTTTTTAACCAAAACTAAGTGTGATTCTAACTTTTTGTTTCTCTGTGACATAACAAGGTCCTAAAAGGCACCGAGGAAACGCTGACCAACCCACAGATGAGTACATGGAGACAGAGACTGGACTCTTTGGAAAGGCCACGCCCCCTGGATATAAGCCTGCTCCGCCCGCTACTAAAAAAGCCCCACAAGGAGCAGCAGCAGCAGCAGCTCCGTCTGCCCACAGGCAGAACGAAGACAACCCGGAGCTTCGAAATGACAACAGCAGCGTGTTCGTCAGCAATCTGGCGTACACCCTGGAGGAGCCAGAGGCGAAACTCAGGACGCTGTTTGAGACCTGTGGTCCAATCAAGCAGATTCGCCCCATCTTTACTGGTAAAGGAAGCTTCAGAGGCTACGGTTATATACAGTTTGAATCCCCAGTGTCAGTCGCTGAAGCCCTGAAGCTGGACCGACGGGACGTGGAGGGCAGGCCTGTGTTTGTGTCACCCTGTGTCGACAAAAACAAAAATCCTGACTTTAAGGTAAGCGTGGCTCAGTTCCTGCATTTGTGTTGAACTTAGACGCCTCATCATTTTTATTCAGTTAATACAGCTATCAATGCCACTTCACCCAGTCCAAGATTATTATTGTAGGGGCTAAAATATTGTGAAGCACATCATTCAATTAGTTTTTCATCCAGCTTGGCTAACATGATTGGAGCATGCAGTGCAAAGTGATATCTTCACGCTTATGTCCTTGTAGGTGTTTAAATACAACACGATGATGGAGAAACACAAAATTTTCATCTCTGGACTGCCGTTCTCGTGCACTAAGGAGCAGCTGGCGGAAATCTGCAAAAATCACGGCACCGTCAAAGAAGTTCGTTTGGTCACGTATCGCTCAGGAAAACCCAAGGTGAGGAATAAAGAGCACAGCGGTGAGATGATGGAGCTAGTGATCGCTGCCTTCGACCCACACGCAGGGCGAAGTTGTTGGTGTGTTAACCCTCTTATGCTGTGTGGCTCTGCAGGGTCTGGCATATGTTGAGTTCGCAGATGAAACCCAGGCCTCTCAGGCAGTGCTGAAAATGGACGGCATAGAAGTGGAGGGCAACAAAATCTCTGTTGCTATAAGCAACCCTCCTCGCAGAAACACGATAGATAAGCCTGGGTCGAGCAGGCCCACGGGAGACGCCATGCCTCGCCAGGTGTACGGAGCGTAAGTTTCCCAAAATGTTTCTCCCACAAAATGTTTGCAATTGCTCTTCCCTGATTCCCAGATCTATATTGGTAATAAAGACAGGAAACAAATTTGACTGTTTTCCTTTTTTTTTCCAGGAGAGGGAAAGGACGCACCCAGCTCTCCATGCTCCCTCGTTCCCTCCACCGACAATCCGTGCCCGCCGGGAAAGTGGAGAACGGGAGCGCTGCGGACGGAGAGCCAGCCAGCGCAGCAGGAAATGCAGCCGGAGAGCCGAAGCAGTTGTCAAATTCAGACTTTGCCAAGATGCTCCTCAACATGTGAGAAGACCGGCAAGAGCGTGACGACCGCCTTCACACTGAAAGCCATCTTGTGTCCTTACAAATGGATGTCCTTGATTAATTTTTTTTCTTGTTCGTAACCGGTTACCTGATGTCCCTTTAATCCCGGTCATGCTCTCACCATCCGTTCTGCGAGGTTGCCTTAAATCCCCATCACGAGCCCTTTTCAAAGAGCGTTTCGGATTGTTTTTGATGGGTGTGTTTTGAAGATGGCAGCCAGGATGTTTTATTAAAAGTGTATCATATTTGTGTGTAAATATACTGTATCTAAGATTGTTGCAAGGTTTCCTTTTTTTGTTTTTCTCTTTTGTTGTTGTTGTTGTTGTTGTTGTGCACTGTAAGGGATTTTAACAGAAGCATATGGGAGAGTATTTTTTTAAATATTCAAAACAGCCAAACTTGTGAATGTTGTTTTAAATAGGTATATGCAAAAGTTTGGACGTGGTGTAATATAGTCGGTGTGTGTACATAATGTTGGATGTGCTAGTGGTGAAAAGACACTCTCCAGATGTTTTTAAGGAGCCGAAATAGTTTTATTTCCTGACCTTCTAGTACAGCTGATTCATTATTTTTTTATGTAACATCATCACTGAGTCTCCGTCAACTACTAATGTCCAGTATTATTGTGCTATAGAGACCTCTAAAGCTACCGTCAACAAAAAAACAAGACCTTTTAAGACGGTGTGAAAGCTGCTGTCCTGCAGCACACAGCTGATGCTTGAGTTAGTGTTCAAAAATCTGTTTTAAGTAACCCTGCTTATATTTTTTATGTTTCCATGCGTGGCCCGTCTGTTCAGGTGGAGAACGTCAGTCACCTTTAAAGAGGAACGAAGGGTACCTGCCTGAAATTTAAGAGGGTGCACATAAGCAGGAAGCTGGTGATTCTGAAGTGCTTTGATGGCAGGAAACACCTGGCTTCACGTGGGCTTCGTGAGCCTGTAGTCTATCACTCAGAAAGAAGAAAGGCTTTGTCCTTCAAGGCAGTTTTCAGTCATTAGTTTTGTCTACATTGGCAAATTTTTAATTGGCTTTCAGATTATTTGATCTTAACTCTTAGCGAAAATTACCACAGCAGATTATTTAGTAAAAAAGAGCCACTTGCAGCACTCTAACATTTAATATTGAAAGAAGTAAAAAAAAAAAAAAAAGTGAATATAAACTCAAGCTGTTTTTATAAGTGCGGTTTGGTTTTTTTTAGTCGACGGCACTCTCTGGAAAAACAAGAGGATGGTCAGAATCTATGCAGTTCCCATTTCAGTAATCCCATGTTTCAGGGGGTCGATCAGCTGTCCACTTGTCTTGTTTTACACATTAATAAAATTCTGTTTGTGTACATGATACTCGGTAAACATGTTTAAAAAAAAAAAAAGGTCAGCATAGTTTGTGATGAATCTTAAGTTTTCAAAACATGTAATACAAGCTGTATGTATTGCTCTCACCGCAGTGGCCTAATTTAAAAAAAGGAGAAAAAAAAGTTGAAGTTGTAGAAGTCACCTTCTGTTTTGTCTATACTAAAAAGGTTGTATTATGTGCATTGCCGTTTGTATAATTTCTATAGTCAGTGTTTTACATTTGGAATAGAGGTAAATAATAAAAGGCTATTTTTTGTTCGTTTAATCTCAGTATTTATTTTTGTGCTTTTTCACTTTCATTCTTTGAAATCATGTCATGTTTCTTTTCCCTCCCTTCTTTTCTGGTCTGAAACTTGTTTTAATAAAGTCCTACAAATGATGCCCGACTTTGCTCATTGTAGACCACTTTTATTTTAAAATAAATAAGAAAATACAGGAAAGTGCATTACAGTGTCTGGAGACATCATCTTTACGTCAAAGAACTAAATGTTCACCGTGCACATCCGCAGTTGAAACTGAAGATTCAAGCCCGACAGAAATCTTGTTTTGTTTCCTCCTCGCAATATGATGGAGAATTAAAACGCCTAAACTCTCCCACAACACAACTTTTCATTGCGTGGGAAAATTAGGGTGTGGTAAAGCAAACCTGACACGACAAAAAGCAAATTTCAGTTCACCTTCCTGAAGCAGGCTGATGAATTCAGCAGGCACAGAATCCAAACTGTGACGAGGGAATGATGGGTATGATGTGGACAAAGGAATTCACATTTTATGATGAGCTCTAAAATGAAATGACATCTATGTTTGCATGCCAGTGTTGCCATGCTCCTGTATCCCTACCCTATGCTCAGTTGTGGAATGGGATGGTCTGCTTGCAGTCGAAACAGGTCTGGTCCTGGCCTGCTCCCGGCAGCCCCACGGCGTGCTCCGTAGTAGAAATCAACAACGTGTCCAAAGTTATTTCTGTACATTTGGCTATGAAGCGGATGAAGGGCCGCACATCACCCTCGTTGGCTGTGTCCAGAGCGGCGTAGTATTCAGCCCGTTGTTCCTTGCGGATAGTAATTGGTGGGTATCTCGCTTGCATGAGCACGAGGTTCATGAGCAGCCGCGACGTACGTCCGTTGCCGTCAACAAATGGGTGTATGTACACCAGTTTATAGTGGGCGAGTGCAGCGTATTCCACGGGGTGAAGCTGCAGCGCCTCGTCGGAGTTGAGCCACTGAACGAGCTCCTGCATGTGTCTCTGCAGGTCCCGAGGATGAGGAGGGATGTGGTGGCCCACAAACACCTGACTGGTGCGCAGCCTCCCTCCTTCCACGGGGTCTACGTAGCCGAGCACCCGCCGGTGGATCTCCAGGATGTCGTTGACGGTGATGGCTCCTGATCTGGACAACAGCGTCGTGTTGATGTACTTCATGGCCGCATCCACCCCGATCGCCTCGTTCTGCTCCTGCAGGCTCTTTCCGGGGACGGCGTAACGCGTCTCAATGATATGACGGATCTCTGACAGCGTGAGCGTGCTGCCTTCGATGGCCACGGTGTGGTAGATGTGGTGGTAGTAGGTCTCCTCCATCACTCGGCGGAATGCAGAGTTCCCTTTAGGAATGGACATAAGCTGGCGCACTTTACTGTCGATGATGCTGAAGTAACGCTGATCGATCTCTTCCACCAGGGGAAGGGTCCGGTCTCGGCTAACCAGAGCTCTCTCGTTGCACGGTGAGATGGCCAGGGCCTTGGTGTACAGGTGATCTGCCTGGACGACATCCTTCTCCTCCTCTAAAATGGTCCCCAGCTCCGTCAGGGCATCCACGAAGTCTGGGTTCATGCTAAGTGCATGCACCAGCAGCTTGTGAGCCTTCTCCCTCTTCCCAAGTTTCTTCATCTCCTGAGCCAACTGCAGTGCAGCTTTGGCCTCCAGCTCCATCTCTGCAATCACGACATGATTGACAGGGTGAGCAGTGAAGATGCAGTAAAACAGCAGGTCATGTCATGACAAAATATGAATAAATTCATTAATTAATTAAAAAAAACGTTATTACACTTGGATGAACTAGAATGTTCAACAACTTCAGAAATCATTCAGGGAACTAATATTCAATTTAAAACACTGAAGCCGCAAATTTGTTGTTTTTACATTTAGTTGATGTGCTTCCTCTTTTTCCTTAACAGTTCGCTGGTCTTCACAGTTAGAAAACAGTGTGAAAATACCTACAATTTGCAGAGGATTTGGAGAATTACAAGCTGACGTCTTCACAATGTCATCATTCAGAAATCCCAACATACAGGAAAAACCAATACGATCAGAGCTTGAAAGCGATAAAGGGAACGCAGTTTTCTCTATAAATTTGTTAAATTAAGCCCTACATGAGTTCACACGGGCCTTCTTTCTCGACATATGGTTAATATTGTTCTGCATATGGCACTAAGCTGACCCCCACAGTCAATAACATGAGTGTACCTTTGGTCGGCTTGGGCCTCTGAGGCAGCAGATCAAGAGCAGTGAAGGGGACGGTGAGGCTGGTGGACTGCACAGCTGGATGCTGCTGTGGACTTCCCCACAGTTGGCAGCGGAGCAGAGCGATGCCTCTCAGGGAGGCACAGCACTGATCCTCCACCCCAACCATGGGCATCAGGAGCGCCACGAGTGAGCCGAGGGCGATGCAAAGCAGCGGGCCCCATCCTCCTAGGACACGGGCGCTGTAGTAACTCCACACCTTCACAGCAGCCATGAGGACCCCTGGTTAAATCCTCCATCTTCTGGTGTAATGCCCCCCATCTAATTTCACTCCAGCATGGAGACCCGAAAGGTGGCGAACAGGAGGAAAACGAGCAGCATGGCAGCTGCCGCGAGAGATCAACTAAACGAGACAACTTTTAACGCCCGTAAGTTAGGAAGCAAGCTACCTTTAGCTACAAACGGAGGCTCTAAACCTTAAGCTAACTTAACGACCAAACGGCGGCTGGCTTTTCGTCAGAGTCGGAACAGCTGTACACATAATACACACATCTCCAACTTCCTTAGGCTCAACGTTTGAACATCCTAAAAAAAAAAAAAAAAAAAAAAAAAAAAAAAAAAAAAAACGTTTGAACATCCTCGAATATCATTGGTCCGAAGTGTATTGAAGGGCAGAGCCGATTGGGTGAAAATTCAGCAATACAACTCTCGTTTCGTAGCCGTCCCTGATTGGCTGAGTCATGGAAACCTTTTCCCCGAGTTTTACCTTTCAGGGACAAGAGCGACATTATGTAATCAGTAGGTATCTAATGTAATCTAATTTATTTTTTAGTTATGGGGTATTTTAAACATGTAAAAGAAGAAACAAATCCTATTTAAAGCCCCTCTATTGCCAAAGATCAAGGCTGTAGAGAAATCTTGAAACACAACTGGGTACTTATTTTGTAGTTATTTGAAAGCATTATATAAATTAGCTTTCATTTCTGTGTTCAGTGAGATCTCAAGCTACATGTTTAGAATCTCCACACAAATTAGATTTTTAAAAATTCACAAAAGTTTATTTCTTTGCTTCAAAATAGGGGTTTAAAACGCCCCCCTGCGGTATATACTTCGACCATCATTGTGGATCTCTCCCTTAATATTTTAGTGCCCTCTTGCTCATCTTATACAATCTCCTTTGCTTTGACCTGTTATCGAAGAAAGCAAAAGCAACAACTCACTTCCATCCTTATCGGTGCCTCGTCCTCTCTTCAGGAGATCCAGAATCTATTAATATGTAAATATTTTTTACATTTTAAAAGCCAATGAGAGTGAAAGACTCACCTAATGCAGACCAAATCTACCTACAGGTGCAAACAGAGTAATTTCACAGATCATGTTTGCAGGATCTGGGCGGGCACAGCATTTTTCCACATTTAGAAAAAAAATTTTTTTTTTTAAGTAAGTAAGTTTAAGTATTTCACTGTCAAACTCTGAATATAGCTCATTCTGTTCAAATATGAAACCTTTTTTTAAATTTCAGGTTATATTCATTCATGCAATTTTGCAGTGTTTGAGACATAAACACCACAAAAGATAATTTTGATTTGACAAGTCAGGGTAAACAACATACAGTCCTGTGAAAAAGGAAGTTGTCAAAGCACTCTGTGACCATCATCATCATCATCATCGTGGTGCATTCCTGTGAAACACTAAATACTCCCTATGGGGTTGTAGAACCACTGTTAGCAGCAACAACCAATGTAATCACTTTCTGTATGACTTCATCAGTCTCTCACTTTGTTGTGGGTGAAATTTGTCTCATTCTTCTCCACAGTGCTGCTTCAGTTCATTGAGGTTTGTGGTATTCGTTTATACACAGCTCTCTTAACCACCTAGTCTGGGCCATTGCAACATCTTGATTATTATTTTTTTCAGCCATTCTCTTGTATATTTGCTGCTGTGCCTGGGATCATTGTCCTGTTGCGTGATTTAGTATCAGCCAAGCTTTAGCTGTTTGACTGATGGCCTCACATTTTACTTTGGCTTCAAGGTATCCAGGTGCTGTGGCTGCAAAACAAACCCAAATCATCACCTCTCTACATAGCGAAATATCTCCTCTTTGGTCTCGTCTGTCTAAAGGACATTTGGGATGAATTTGCTTGGATGTTCCTGGGAAGATCGTAGCATCATGTTAACACACATCTAAATGCTCCAGAGCAATAAAACTGCCAGAAATTCTGCATTTATGCTTACACTTGCTGAATATAAATGAATCAAATGCATTTGATGTGCAGCACCTGGTTGTTACCTATCGCTTATGCTTTGGAACCAGTAAGGGTGTACTTGTCCCCACAGCAGTAGTCGTCTTAGATACAGCTGTTTGTACAGCTGCAGCTCTTCTAAACCCAAAATAAAACAATTCTCCTCTCCAAATTTCTAATGCACCCACTTCATCAGGTCTTAAGGTAATAAGCAGGCATATCAAGCAAAATGCAATCACCATGAGGAGATGTAAATCTAGTGTTCTCTGGTAATTGCACTGTTTCTTTTTAGTCTAGCACCTGGATTTGCCCGTTTCAATCCCAAACCCGACTGCCAGCTCTTGCACTGCTTCTGGTCATAACAGGAAGCTACTTTCAATTCCTCCACCTGTGACCATAAACTGGGAGTAACTGGTTCTAGGAAATAAATAGACCAATATTTAAAAGACACACTTCACCTCCATTTGCCCTTCTTCTGCCAGCAGAATGTAAACTCCCTATCAAACAGATGAGGGCAGCATTGCTTTTTACGCAAACAACTCGGTCTCTGTCCAGCATATCCTCTAAAGACTGCAGCAGCGCTCTTGGCCTCAAAATCACTATGATCAGGATTCAAAGCCATTGCTATCAAGTCTTTGAATATAACAAAAAAGGAACCCATGCTCGTATAAACCAAGAGTAACATCCTCATCCTCAGCTTCTTTCTCTAGTGACATTTTAGTAATCCTTCTCATCTGTTTATCTCTTTGTCCTTCACATCACTGCCATTCTATTAGGCTTTATATATGTCTTTTAAAGCTTAATGTGCATCCTCTGTTTATAGTAAAATGGCTTTTATAGAGATTACCACCTGCTGTGGACAGCTTGAGGTGCTGAGGATATATTTCTGGCTGCGCGCCAACGCCAACACTATTAGGCATATCTTCAGCAGATGGCCATGGCGGGCTATCAGCTCTAAATAGCTGGTATTCACGCACAGCCTGTAACTCTGCAGCAACACACTCTCACCACAGGTATCTCAGGGGAGGTTATGAATTAGCAGCCATTCTAAGGTCCGTCTGAAATCTGAGGTTTTGAATTCGCTGCACCCTTTTCTGCAGCTGCACACTAACATCATTTCCCACCACAGAGCCTTTGTTGTTCTGACCCACAGCAATTTCGCCTTGGAGGATAATGGCGCTTGCTTGACTTGCATTATTTCTTTATCTGTGTTATTCATGCAGACTTCTCAATGCAAATAGGAGGGTATAGTGGTAAAGGGTGTATTTATGTCGCCATGTCTTCTCTGAGAGTCTGACTGGAGAAAAGAGAGGAAGGAAGATAGAAAACTTGGGAAAATATTTAATCAGTATTCTCCCAGTGATGAGCTGTGATTGGTGCAAATACACCTGCTGGGGCACCTTTTTGTTTTTAAACTTAACTTTAATTGCACCAAATGTATTTTTGGTATTTGGCTCAAAAGAACCTGCCATCAATAATATGTGAAGTATGGCTGTGGAGAAGCACACAAGGTCCCTCCGAGCACTTTTCACTCATGGTCAAATAGTGCATCATGGCCAAAATCTAAGGTACTAAAGCACAATCATCACCAGAGCCAAAATCACAGCCTGCCTCAATCAGCCTTGGCAGCAATCAGCGAGGGTTAAGTGAAGCAGCTTCTGTAGTTATCTGACTTCAAAGTGAGCTTCTCAGAAGCACCATGCTGCTGAGGGCTCAGCTACTTTGTCTGTGGCTGCAGTTACCAGCTGCTTATTTCATATTCACTTACTTCAGAACTGCATATTGGTTTAACAGACATCAGCACAGCGACGTAACTGGTGACACCTTGTGGTTTGTCAACTTCCTTTTTTGAGACCCAGATGGTGTTTTGGCCATCGCCTTTTTGGTTTTGAAGAATGAGACCGTACAAGCGAAGGGCGGGCCTCACTGAGAAAAAGGCACCGCACCCTCATATCTTCCTGAAACGCAGAAGAAAAAATGTTTTTATATTTCATTGTTAGATTATTTAAGTATTGCCTTTGAAAGAAACATGCTACAGCGTCAATTGAAAAACAAATAGAATAGTTATCTATTTTTTTTTATCTTCTGTCCCTGGTAATGGACATCAGGTCCTGTTTTATTACAGAATAAAGTGATGTTATGGATATTTTTCTTTTTTCTGTGAATTTCTAGACATTTTTCTAGTCATGAACATTAAAACATTTAGATGAAGAGAACACTCTCCATTCTCCACATCTAACACTCAACTAAACCTGGGTTGCTAGGTAATGGATGTATGACAGAGGGTGGAAGACAGGATTTTTCTCAGCACGGTGCAAGTGGAGTAATACTTAGAGGGCCAGACAGTGGAGCAGGAAGGTGAAAGCTTGGAGGAGGACATTTCCAGCTTTTAAGAAGCCTAAGCTGGGAGAAAATGATGTCACCTAAGTACATTATGGGTAAGCAGCATAGTGTAAACCAGGGTAATGATGTGTTGGGATTTTGATTACTCAGCAGCCTGTGAAGGAAATCATCCGTCCATGGTGTCAGCAGAATGATGTGGCATGTTGCACTGTGCTTATGAGAGGACTCACCATCCGGAAGGGCTTGTTCCAACCTTATCAAAGACATCAAGTGCATTTGTTACTTTGATGGACTGCCTAATCTTAAAGAATCTGTCCTGACTTATTGAATCGGCTATAACCTGGAACTACTAAATTTGGATCATAGGTTATCTGAGTCATGCCGCGAACACTGATGTGCTCAAGGATGTTTTCTTAAACCTGGTTGCTTATTTCCTGTTTGATGTAATCAGAGGAGCAGCTGTCTCTGTGGTTTGTTGCCAGTGTTGTCCTGATTTCATGTTTCATGCAAAAAAGAAAACCCCAACCTCATTTAAATGTAATTGATAAAGACAGCAGATAATGCACTTTTAACATATATATTATTAATTATAGAAATCAACAGAATAAAAGAAGAAATTACATTTTAAAGAAGTGTGTTTTTGTGCGTGTGTGTGAATTCAAGTGAAAAGGCTCCTTCTTCCCTTTCTAGAAATTGTAGTGCCTAAAATCTTCAGAGCCCTGCATTAAAAAAAGAAAAATCTTATAACATGCCACCTAAAAAGCTGGTATATCCTCCTTTGTGCTTTCATCTTCCTGCTCTAATGTCTGTTCTTCCTCCACCACATCTGACAGCCACTGACCCTCCTTCCACAATTTTGAGTAAAATCCCTGCTATCTCATTGTGCCCTGTGCTTGCTCAAGTATGTACACGGATTGAAACTGTAAGGTAGTAAATCCTGCTGTCCACTACAAAGGAAACCGAATAAAAGTTTTGTTTAGCTACAGAACCATAAT